TTTCCAAACGGAAACAACCATTTCCTCAATGCTTTTTATTTCTCAAATGAGTAGTACAACTCAGTTTTTCTTCAGCTAACAACCTACAGATCATTCCAACTAAGTTTACTATAAAAAATAATCAGTGCTTGGAAACGTTGGGATAATGAAATTTCTATTTTACATAAGGAGGGAAACACGAGATAGATGAGATGTGGGTCCTGTTCATTAATATTTTATTCTTTAGAGAATTTGGTTTTGTACAACAGCACCAGCTCAATTCCTCCCCCCACCCTCCCTCCTTCATTCTTACTGTTCTATTACTTCACCCTTGAGATGTCAGGTATGTGGAATTTAATACCCAAATAGAAGGTCAAGCACCTTGTTGAAGTGCGGGCTGGGAGGACATTGTATTATGACCCTTCTCTGTATTCTTCTTCAGTTGTTGATAAATTTGTGCGTGATGCATTTATTGGGTAAGCATTGGGTTGACAGGTTAACATAAGGCATAAATGCTCTGTATATAACAGCAGGAGTGAACTGCGAATGAATTCTCATCATCCATGGACTGAGAAGGTCTTCAATATACAGTAGATCCTTTCTTAGTCAGACCAGCGTGGATCACAATGTACAATTTCACTTTTTACTCATGAAGTGTTACGATTGTATTTTGGTACGTTACTGTATCAACATTTAATTGACTCAGTTATCATATCATAATAGGATAGACAACGATAGCACCATAGACTTTTTTTTGTTTTAAATGTACCACATAATTGTCCTATTTCGAATTAAACAGTTTTTGTATCATAAAAAATGTACAATGATTCTTTTGATCTTGGAAGCATATTTGCAATAACTCAATTTTTAGTTCTCTAAAAATTGATTCCAGGGTTTTAAAAGAAGCTAGGAATGCTTTTAAACAGAACTTGTTTAGCCTAAATTCTGGTTTCAACAACCGTATTGAAACTGTTGTAGATATAATAATAACAATAATAAAAAAGCATCACACCTTCCTCAGTCATCTTGGGGTAATTTCAACTGGGGTTGCAAGTGATAGGTGATAACGAGAGACAAAAAGTACTGGTTTTAATGGGAGAGGACCAGCAAGCATACCTGAAAACCATGGAGCGTCTATATCATTATCCATCCGTATGTTGGCAATTGCTTTCAGATTCTTGCAAGTTGCAAACTCTCAAAAGAAAAGTTTAATGAACAACAGTGGCTGTGCACATATACTTGAGGAAGGCTCATCAAGTTAGATGCAATATACGTGCATTAGATAAAATGAAAATAATAGAAATTTACAATGACAAACTTACAAGCAAAAAAATTTACCTGTGTTACACTATACACACATAATGATAATCCTCTACGTAATTTGGCTTTCCTTCTCTGATGGAAACAGGATTTTCATCATATATTTGGAACAAACAGTACAAGCGAAACCAGTCAACACTTAACAATTTCTACTACATGATACGCTTCATTATTATCATATGCAAGACCAAGGATAAAGAAAACAGTGACAATTACATCCACAGTTAGATTATCACTAAAGTTGGTATGACTTACAGATATCGCAGTCTAGTGGGAAAAACTGCAGAACTAACCCATGATGTCATATTGAATTTGATACTCTCCAATTATTTAGAAGCAAACTTAAAAGAGAATTTTAACTTGAAGTGCCGGGCGTCTTAGCAGAGTGAAAAGGAGTTGTCTTCTTGTTCCTTTCAAACCCATGGAGTCGTAAGAGCAATGAATTGGTGACAACAAATACTGAGCTCAGAGCCATTAGACCACCTGTCAGCCAAACATTGAAATAAAAAGTTGTGAAAAGCATTTTTAGCAGCAATTATATAAAAGGACCTTTTTTCTGGGCCCAAAATAAACAATTATATAAAAGGAAGCAGGCTTTTTTTCAACTTTATTCACCAGAAAGTGAAGGTGTCATTGCAAAATCAAAATTTGGAAGTAGAACACCAGCAGCAACGGGGATGGCAACAATATTATATGCTATTGCCCATTATAATTTTGATATACTTTAGCCATTGTCGCCTGTGCAAGATCCAGTGCATCTACGACCTGCGAGGAAGAAATCTCAACTTTTGAGTACTTTTTAGCTGAAGGATTAATATTATTCTAAAACATGAATGCTAGAATTATGGCTTTGGCCATTGAGAAGGAGGATACTTGTGTGAGTCTATTTCTGAGAAGTATAATGGATGCTGCATTAGAGGCAGCATTGTCCTGTGCTTCAATCTGCAGAGCAATCCCGACGTTGGCAAGGGCCAGAGAGGGTGCATCATTTATGCCATCACCCACCTTAGAAGGGAAATAGCAAATAAGTTGTGAATAATTTCAATAATTTCAGAATTTCATGCATTAATTAGCATCCTTAATGCTCATGATAATTGTAATTTCCAGCTTTAAGGAACATCTATATATAGTTATTTCACTTGAATCCATGGTCATTTGGTGTTTAATAGTGGATATTTCTAATTCATGACCAAAAACCTAATGAAATTTAAGGTGAGTTCCCTTCTTATTAAAAGAAAAGGTTACCATTGCAACTTGGTGGCCTGCAGCCTGAAGAGTAGATATCACTGTGGATTTCTGCTGCGGAGTCAAGGATGCATTGATAAATTCACTTCCAATTCCAACTGTCTTTGCTATGGGTGCAACTGCCTCTTCCCTGTCTCCTGATAATAGGACTGTTGTGATACCCTTCTCCTGGAGCCTTCCAATTGAGGCAACAAAAGATCCACCCAACATGGCAGAAGTAAGAACATCAGAATCACAAGTATAAGGATTCATTAAGACCATATGTGCTAAAAAAGGATCACTAATCAAACTGGTTACTAACAGCTAAAAATAAGATTAAATGCGCAAACCAAGCAAAGGAATAGAGAGATATAATCAGCATGAGAATGGATAATTGAAGAGCAAATTACCTGCATACAGTAGATTTGAGCATCATGGCAAAAATCATCTGATACTGCAATAGCGCCAATGATGCCTTCTCCTTCGTGTCCAACATAGACAATTGTTTTTGAATGGTTTGAGGGTGATGACAACTGATTCATCAAGGTATGTTCTAGACTCCTCAGATCAGACACACGTTTTCTAACTTGGAAACGTTCATTAACCCAATCTAAATTACCAACTGCAACCAGACAACCATTTACTTCTGCCAAGGTTCCAAAACCTGGTTCTACTAGTTGCCCTCTTGTTTCTGGGATTCTCAAATTCAATGATTCAGCTTTATTACAATAGCCCTTGCAAGTGGATGTGTTACTCTTCTCTCTACTGCAGCAGCAATTTTAAGGACTTCCGTGCCTTCATAAACAAAAGAAGCTACAGAAGAAACACTAGGTTTTCCTTCCATGATAGTTCCTGTCTGGAGGTTGTAAAAGTAGGTCAGGTTGGAGTTGCCTAATTATATTTCAACATAAAAGACAAGGCTACCCCTCTGTGAGTGTGTGTGTGTGAGAGAGAGAGATAGAAATATAGAGGGAATGGGGTAGTTTCTTCTTCCACTTGTAGAAGTACCTTGTCAAAAGCAACATAAGTTCCATTAGCCAAGCGTTCTAGCACATCTCCTCCTCTTATAAGCAGTCCTTGTTTTGCACCTAATGATTTTCAATGCAACAACAAACAGTTCAGTTTAACCATTTTTTTGTTTGATCATAAAATGTGAAGAATTGATGATCCAAGTTAAATTCTTATTAAGTTCTTTAAGTTCAATTGAATCCATACCCTATAACTTGAGTAGGGTTGGTGTCATGGTGGGAGAACATATTAAAAAGGTTAGGCTATTATGAAATGGTTAAAATCCCATTTTGGTCCCTCTACTTTGGAAAAAAGCCCCTTTTTAGTCCCCCTACTTAAAAATGCCTCTTTTTGGTCCCTAAAGTTTGATATCCAGCCTCCTTTTAGTCCCTCTGTTAAGTTTTGCACACGTGGCACATTAGATGACAGAAATTTCAAAGTTAAAGTTCCTTCTACTTTGGCAAAAAGCTCCCTTTTGGTCCTTCTACTTTAAAAAAAAGCCCCTTCTTAGTCCCTCTATTTTGGGAATTTTGTTAAGATAACATGCCACAAGACAAGAACTTAGTGGAGAGACTAAAAAAGGATCGGATTTCAAACTTTAGGGACCAAAAGGGGCTTTTTTAAGTACGGGACTAAAAAGGAGCTTTTTGCTAAAGTAGAGGGACCAAATTGGTTTTTTAACCTTTTGAAATTATTTATGGAGCTCTCCAATTAAAAATGCCTATGGAGTATGGATGGTAAATTCCCAAAAGGATCCTCGTATGCTCAGAGTATTATTGGATCCATTTCCCAGCCTATTTTTACCTTTTGCCTACTCATTTCAGGCCATGAGATATACTCTTAAAGTTAAGGACAGACATGCTAAACATTCTAATATTATATAAATCATCTCGAACTCATATTAACAATACTGAACTTGAGTGGCATATTGTCGGTCTTCTACTTAAATCAAACACAAAATTATTCACAAGCAAGGTATTTACCAGGAGATGTTCCAACTAGGATAGCTGTGGGTGTGGCAAGGCCCAGTGCACATGGACAAGAAACCACCTGAAAAAGAAAAGAAAAAGTAAAGATTAGTGCTACGAGGTATAAGCACATCAACTCAAGTCTAACTGTCTAAGTGTATGGCAAGCACCTTTCTGTCAAACTAGAAGCTAAATAAAACTAGCACTAATAAAAGGAAAAATATGAGATCAAGTTTTGAAGGTTAATAGTAAAAAAAACCTACATCTTTTTAAATATGGAATTGTTTCCATTTGAAAAAATTTTAAGCATTACATCCAAAAAAGGATACAATTTCACCATTTACCTTTATCACAAAAAATAAAGCCCTAGCCAAAGTTACAATCTGCGTATTTGATTGTAATAAAAGTATCCCTTGACTATTTTCTTAAAAGAGAAAAATTTCCTTCATGGAAGACCATAATGGAAACTAACTAATGCAGCTCAACTTAATAACTCCCAAACCATTTAGAGTTGCCCATATGAAACATGAATCTGCAGAACATATAAATGAATGGTAAGTTAATTTAATAAACTTACCAGGACATCAACAGCAAGTTTTAAGCTCAAAAGGAAAGGATTGCCATCTGGCCCAGCAATATCATTGAGCAAAACATCAGGAAATAAGTGTGAACCAACATAGTACCTGGATATGTAAGCAATAAGTCAAAGAAGCAAATTAGTACTCTGTCCACAACAAGCAAAGTAATGTTTAAAAAATATCCATAAGCAACTAAAGGGGACATGGGTGAGCCAGCGGGGACCAAACAGTCTTCTTTAAGTTGAAGGTTAGAAATAAGAAAGTACAGTTCCATAATGTGTTAATTAAATGTTGGAAGTATGGTCCTTGAATGTTAGAAGGTTGAAAAAAAAAAAAAAAAGGACTCATCTAGCCATGGCATGAATGGATGGAAACTAGCCATCACAAGCACATTAAAGATGACAAAATCGTGCAAAACCACCAGGGGGAACTTTTTTCAATTTTTCTGGAAAGAGGATGGTGGTAACTGATGATGGTGAGAAAACAGCTAATAAAAGAAGTGCATCTAAAATTCCATCATTTGGTCCAGTAAATTGCTATCATTCTCCTCATCATCTCATCATGTGCCTGATTTCAACTGTGTGCACTTTGAAACTTCAGTTTCTCTAAAACTAAAAGCATTTTAAGGTCCATAGGTATATCAAAAGCCTAAATTATCTCATTAGCTCCTCAAATGTTAATACAACTAAAGAAGCAGCTGTCATAACAGAAAGCAAAAGTTGCAACTGACAGAGTCATTACACTCTACACAAATGGCCCAGCTATTGCATCTGCAAGCCTTTGTGCAGGCGCCTCACAGCCTTGAGCATCCTCAATCTGAAGATTATATTAAGTAGTACAATGACCATAACCATTATGGAATGTGAGATTAACTTAGGCAGCAAAGTCATCATCTCTCTTCACCAATTGTGAAACTTAGTTGTATAAATAAACAAAATAAAAAGCTTACTGAGACACTAACCATTTGAACAATCTTAGATATAATAGAGTTGCTTCCTGTAGAAGAAGCTTCAATCCTCAAAGGACCATCCTGAAATATAATAAAACAATTACCTAAAATCTTAAACACCGTGATGCCTGCATGGAAGAGTGCATGAATTAAGATTTGAAAGTTCAAATTTTGTTACAATCTAACAAATATCCAATTATCTCAAGCAATCTAATATGCATGCATTAAAAGTAAAAACTATGCCAACAAGCAAGAGCCACTTCTAAGGTCAAAACCATTGCAGAAGTGATCACATTTCAAGGCTACATCCTTCAAAGTGTTTATCATACCCAATTTATTGTTCCAGCTGAGACTGTGAAGCCTTCATCCTTGAATACTGGAAGTGATTCTCCAGTCAGCATGGATTCATCAACCACACTTCTTCCTGCAAGAACTCTCCCCTATGCAGGGAATTTAGTTTCAGCATATGCTTGAAAGCAGTTAAGTTTCTCATATATGAGGGGAATTAGCAATTTGATCCTATTTTACAACTACTTAACAAATTGCCAACAGATAGGCAGTTCATCCTAGAGAGTTATATAAAGACAAAAATGAAGTCTACAAGTACCAAATATCACAAATCACAATCATGTTGGTACAAATTAGCATTTCTTTAAATATCTGAAGAAAAATACCATCTAGAAATTAGATGCTATGAATTTCAGATCATGAGGAGCTTTGTAAAATATCCAAAATACTTACATATACAGGAATGGTTTCTCCTGGCAAAACCAACAATGGGTCTCCAACACAAATGTTGTCTGTTGGGACCTCAACGCAAATTGCATCAGAGCAGAGTACAGCATCATCAGATGAATCACTTTCTGATGAAGTAATTACAAGTCTTGACTGAGTGGATATCAATGACTGAAAACCACAAAGTCACACATTAAGTGAAAACAGTGAGAAGTTTAGAAGTTAACAATAAGTAACAAATGGCAACACATTGCAATCTATAGCATTTCAACCTAGTTTTCTGTACTTGCAAAAATAGTGGATTTTATGCATCCATTTAGAAAATGTGTTACTTTTTAGTGTTTAGTCAATGAGTTATTTGGCTCAACAAAGGATGGAACAAGTGAAATAGCATCCCTAGCAAAGCAATGCATTTATATTTATTAAAAGTTCAAACCACAGATATAGATCTTGTTATAACTTACTAAAAGTTCATTCATGTTGCTAGATGCTGTAATCCTTGCCCTTCCTTCCAAAGAACGTCCAAGAAGCACAAAACCAAGAAGCATTACCTGCATACTAAAAAAAGCGAGCCTTATATTAGGAAGTAGTTATCAACCAAAGATATAAAAGTTTGTTAGGTTCTTCTTGTACAAAAACTGAATGACTATCACACATCCTACGCTTTTGCTTAGGCCAAAAAAAAAAAAAAAAGACCCTAGGCTTTTGCTTAAAATGTTGAGGAGAATGCCAGAGTCAAGAAAAAGGCACATAAAAATGTCCATAATCTATACTGCTATCTGCAAAGAAGTAAAGCAAGTCACTGGTTCATCAAAGAATGATGCATCCCATTCAAGCCCTGGATTGATGAGAGAGACCTACAAGAATAAAAGAAAATGAATAGAAATTATCACAATGACGACAGGATTAAACAGCTGAACCACAGCCATTTATCTCACCGCACTAATGAGAAATGCAGCAACTGATCCAAATCCCACTAGAGAGTTCATATTGGGTGATCCTTTCTTGAATGCCCTTAATCCATCAAATGGGCGCTTTGAATTAAATTATTCTTTACTAACTACAGTGAAGCAACAAATACTATCCTTTTATGGCAATTAAAACTTAAGAGAACTAACTCAACTAAGTACAAATCTTTCTATGCCACATAAGAAGCATGACAGGATAGGGACATGTGGCACAAACCGATCTCACAAACTAGGTAGCTAAGTACTTTTGTTTGTGAATCAACCCTTCAAATGTACCAAACAAGTTAAAGATACCAAGTTTACCTCTTGCTGGTCCCAGCAAAGCCCCCAAAGCCAATCCACCTTTCACATACGAATTATGAAGCACATCCCAAAAATATCCTATGCCAAGTTGCCAACCCAAGCAAAATCAAATTCTCAGGAAATATCATTTAGACCATATTAACTTCATAGTCTACTTAAGTATTTACCGTGAGCAACATGAATTCCGAGCGAGTGCAGAATATGAGAAGCGTGTGATCCACAACAAAGCGCCACCAAAGTCCAAGCAAAAGCCACTCTATTCCTACTCTTTACAAGCAACTCCTCTTTCTTCTGCAACATCTCCTTCCATTTTCTCACATTCTCACCAACTCCCAGCCCCGAAACCCTCCTCTTCGCCGAGAACCCGCACTCCGTCACACGCCGAGCTAGACTGTCGGCCACACTGTCCGCAGCTTCACTTTCCATAACCTCTTGCTTCAACCTAATCGCCGCCGTCTCAGTCAACATGTTGACCACAACCGATTCGACTCGCTCGTCAGCAGCGAGTACCGATTGAACTCGAGACACGCATCCTCCGCACATCATCCTGCTGACATCCAGAAGAACCGGCGAATCTTTCAGCTGTCGTTTCGGCGTTTGAAAAGGTAAGTTATCCTGCACAAGCTTAGTTTCCAGTGAATTAAAGATAACGAAATTTGAAGTAGAGCGTGATCGGAGACAAGAAAACCGCCGTTTCGGCAACAGAATGCCGCGACGGCGTAAATTGCAGAAGTCAGATCGGCGAACACCGAGTTTCAGGTTCGTGCTGTAACCGAAACATAGCTTTGGTTAAGGTGAAGCCGTGAAAGAGAGAGTCCCAGAGGATTAACCGCCATTGCTCGCTCATACAGAAGAGAGCTTCTGCGGTAGAAAACATACGCAGAGAGGTTGACAATGACCGGCAATGGAGGAGGCGGAGGCGATTAGAATTTGCCGCGTCATATTGATATATCCTTGGTTAAAACCCCTTTTTGGTCCCTGAACTATTGTACGGACCCCCGATTTGGTCCCTGAACTAAAAAAATCCCTGATTTGGTCCCTACTGTTT